CCTGCATTCATGCCATTCTCTGCAGGTAAAGAGTCAACACACAGTTATTGATCATCCAGTTCTTTTGCATGTTCAATCATGCAAAAGAATAATTTTTTCCCAAATATCTTGATATTTACAGTGAAAAGCAATTATTTTTAATCAGAGTCCTTTGTGTATCTCCACAGGGAAGCGAAACTGTGTTGGCGAGTCTCTGGCCCGTATGGAGCTTTTTATCTTTATAGTATCATTGCTGCAGGATTTCACTTTTTCCTGTGCTGGAGGCCCTGACAGTATAAACCTCATTCCTGAAAAAAGCAGTTTTGTTAATGTGCCTTGCAGATACCATATTATGGCCACACCTCGTTAAAAGAGATGATTTGTTTAGACAGAGTTATAGTCTGGTTGAAGGACTTGAACAAGGATGTCTTCATCAGCTTCTTGTGAAACAGTGATTTTACAGTTAGTTTGCTAGTACCTCACTGATGTAGAACACAAGACCATGACATGTAAATATTTTACCTCAACACAATTGCAATTTGTGTTTTTTCGGTCATGTATTCCTTTTCTTTAGTGAGTTATTTTTTCTCGTATTAATTTGATTTTTTTTCTCTATCCAATAAAGATTGCTACTGATTTTAACCAATAATTACTTTTAAAAAACTACACACCTATCAAAAAATTGTAAAAGCTTTTATGTAAACACTCAGTCTCATCATTGTTGTTAAAACTGTACAGAAAAAAAATACATTAATTAAGTCTAACACGGACTTCAAAGTAAATTCATTTAAAATTCCTCTCCTGTGTGAGACGTTGCTTCAAAACTAACATCTTAGTATTGGCTTTTATAACATTCACTCTTTGATTGTTTGATTGTTTCAGTTTTTTTCATGAACACCAAAACTAACAGCTCTAAATAATTACATTTTTATGGAAAAAGGTTATAAAAAGTAAGTGGATAACTTGTGGAATTAGTTGCGCTAAATTTAAGACTGTATAGAAACAGAGCGCTCACTGTGAAACCGACCTCAAAGCTGAAAGCTTTAAGAAACACATTTTAAGTAATTATTTTAAAAATAGAACAGGCAAAGTTTATCATCTCATCCACATCTATCTCCGACCACCAAACCCGCAACCTCTCATCCAACATCCAGACTGCTAATTCTGCAAGCCTTCACCTCCTTGGCTGTCTTGCTCATGTAACAGTTTGCTTTTATGTTTTTGCTTTCATTTGTAACTTTGCTTCTGATGTGTAATTGGAAGGAGTCTTGAAAAAGAAGTGTGTCTAAGGGGGAGTGAGCATCTCTTCTGTGGAAATTCCAGAAGATGATGAACTCATTCTGGTGTAAATAATAACTTGTGGCAAAGGATTTATGTTTATTATTTTGGATTTGGATTATTTAGCATTGTAGTTGCTCATTTTTAACATGTATTGTTGAATGTTATGGTTGTGACCACAAGTTTTTATGGTTGAATTCAACATGACCAAGATCAGTTGCGAGTAAGGAAACTGACTAACATTTATTTTAAGCGCTTATTAAAATTATACAATTATTACTAGAAAGTGAAAATTTTAGAAGAAATTTTAAGTGTGCCTATGCCGCTGCTAATCAGTGTAGTTTGCCATTCATACGGCTACAGAGAGCAAAACTCAGCAGAGCAGCCATTCTCCACCATGAACTATGGTAAAAACAAACACCGCTCGCGCATCACAGATGACAGCTTACAGTTTTGTGCAAAGATGAGGTGACTTCGTACAGCCCCGATTTGCAGACGCTGTGCACAGAGGTTCATGAGCAGAAGTCCCATTGTACCACGGCAGACCCGACAATGTTTGCATGAACACGCTTTGTAGCATTATTTTATTGACCACTTTTCACACATGGTTGCTGTACCCACACAGCCGGCTGTAGCTTTTCATCTCACAGCCTGACACACACCAAAAAAAACA